GGAGGGGAGGGGGAGGTGGTGGAGGGGAGGGGAGGGGGGAGGGGGCGCGCTGGCGATGGAGGCGACGGAGGCGCCAGAGCGCGCGGAGAACACGCACCGCGGCCGCGAAGAGGAGGTGCGATATCCCGTAGATTGTCGGCTGCGCCGCGCGCGCAGCTTGGAGCCACATGTCTAGTGCGTATTGTCCTAGGCCGCGAAAGTCGGTGATCGGCACCGGACCGGGCTTGGGGCGGAAGGGGCGGTGCTTCGGCCACACTTTTAGCGTCGGCGCAGCCCACGCGGGGACGACGAAGAGGTTGCCCGCCCACAGCTGGGCAGGGGGGAGGAGGAGGAGGCGCGCGGCGATGTAGATGAGTACGAGGAGGACGGTACATAGCCGCGCGAGGCGGTCGGCCGTGGCCGCTGCGTTACGGAGGACACAGCGGACGCGGGGCGGGCTGGTGGGGTGTGCCGCGATGTGGGCGGTTGCGAAGAGTGCGTCGAGAAAGAGCTGGCCTGCGGAGGCGAGGAGGTAGGTCGTGGCGCAGAGGAGGGCAGGGGCGCGTGTGTAGGTCTCGGGCTCGTCGTGGAGGACGTCGAAGAACTGGGCGGCGGGTGGCGCGTCCGCATTGGTTTCGGGAGGTGGGGTGCGCGTGGGCCGCGAGGTGAAGCGGCGCTTGACGCGAGCCCAGAGGGAGGCGCGGCGGGTCGGCCCGGCGTGGCTGGAGGGTGAAGCTAGTGGCGAAGGAGCTTGGCTGGAGGGGGAAGCCAAGGGCGGGGAAGTTTTTTGAGTTGAGGTGGGAGAGGCGAATGGGATGATGCGGGTGCGGGCGCGCCGAGTGGGTGGGATGGACTCTGAGCGTGAAGTTGACGCTGAGAGGGGGGCGGGGGAACAAAGCGGCGAGATCGGCGGCGTAGACGGGGCCGAGGAGACGGCTGAGGTGCTGGAAAATTGACGAAGAAGGGTATGCCGCCCAGCGTCGCCTTTACGCGTCTTGATCGAGAGCTTCAACACCATTTTGGTGGAAAGGGGAGGGTTGGTGAGCTGGATGGGGGGATGGCGGATGGCGGATGGCAGTTGATGGCCACTGATATATGCTGCCATGCGACCAGCCATCCATCCATCCATTCATGCCGCATCCATTCATGCTGCATCCTGCCCCGCGCTGCATGCTGCATCCTACGCCGAACGCATTTATCCCCTCGCACTGAATTGTAGCGTGCGAGAAAATCTGGTGAGACAACCATGAATCCGACAAACAATCCATCGACGCACGGCGCATTGACAACAATGAATTGAAACAGAATTACAAACAGCGGCAAGACGCGGCCGTGCCACAAGTCTGTCCGGATGCATACTTCCGATATCCGTCACGTGGTTGGCGGGTCGGGGTCGGGCGGGCGGCGGGAGGCAGGGTGGCTGGCCAGGCAGGGTGGGGGGTAAGGCCATGGCCATGGCGTCGGAGTGAGTGCACGCAGCAAATGGCGCGCGTGCGCTAAAGGATCAATTGAGTGATGCAGGTGATACTAATTGTGCATGCTTGGCATTGGATGTCGCCAGCCTTAGGGCCTCGCGGCGCGCCAGCACCCTGGCCTGCACAGAGTCGAGTGGAAGCATGTCAGCGTCCGCTCTGCCATCGGCCCAGGTTGCAGTTGCCAGCACCAGACGCCAGCGGCCGCCCACTCGCCGCCAGCCGCCAAGTGCAGTGCCAAGCGAGATCTCGCAGCTGAGACATGGGCGCTAATCTGGTCGTTGGCGGCCCGATGCCGAGCCATGCAGCTAGGCCATAGCCCGCTGCACGGCTGCGGCTTGCGGCCTGCGGCTTACGGCCTGCGGCTGGCAGCTGGCGGCATGGCACACGACGTCCTCGTCGCGCTCGTCGCCTGACCTCGATTGATTTTCCGTCCAGCGAATAGGCCAAATTTTTGGTTACGTCATCGAATATACCCAAGCGATCACCAAACATGTGCCCCCTCACTGCACCTGACGTGATCCGCAGGCCACAGGGGCACACCCCGTCCTAGTACATCTCATGCATGGTCGTACAGTACAGACACACAGCGATTATGGCCTCGCCAGATACAGGCTGCACAGAGGCGGTGCGGTGGGGCCCAATGCGTGGCGCCGGGCGTCGGTGCGTCCGTGCGGGGCGAACAATGGGCATGTGGGTGAGGCTTTGGGGCTTATGGGCTTATGCCGTCTTGTAGTCGCGCATGTGCGACGGCGGCTGCGTGTCGCGGCGCGCACGCTCGCGGCCCCCGCCTTCCGGCCCCGCACTCGATGTGCGCGGCGCGGCGCTGTTGCCGCGCGTGCTGCGCCCGTTCGTGCGCTCCGTCGCGCTGACGGCGCGCCGCATGGCCGCTGACGTGGGCTCGACGGGGGACAGGCTCGCGCGGGTTCTCGCGCGCGGGCTCCGGCGCGGCGCGGCGGACTGGGCTCCATTCTCGGGAAGCGAGGATGCCGAGCCCGTCGGCGAGACCGACGAGATGGCAAGGCGTGAGCGCTTGCGCGGCACATAGTCGTTCATGGGCGGGGACGTGTGCTCGTCCGCAGCAGTCACTGTGCGCAGCGGCGAGTGGGTACTGACCGCGGCAGTTCCAGGAGTAGTAGTAGTAGTACCGAGACCAGTGCTGCGAGTGCGCTTGAGCGAGCGACTCACAGGGCCAGCAGCGTCAGCGGCGGAGGCAGCTTCAGCTTCGACTTGAACAACCACGGCTTCTGCGGAAGCCGCAAAACCGGCCATGTGTCTGGCTTCTCGGCTGGAAGCAGACTCGACAGAGAGAGCGCGCTCACGCGCCACCGCACGCTGGATGGGTGGAATCATGGTAGCAGGGGTGGCCGAGGCAGAGGCCGAAGCCGAGGGCATACGAGAGTTGCGGCTGGAGCGGTGGGCCCTGCGGCGGCGAGCCAGGGCAGCGGCTGCACGGGCTGCAGCAGCATTTTCCTTCTTCTGGCGAGCCTTTTCCTCCTCTGCACGCTCGGCGCGAGCGAGCTCCTGGGGCGAGGGCACGGAACTACGACTGTTGGAGAGGTCGATGGTAGGCGAGTAGGGGTGGGGGTTGGTGGTGGAGCCGGTAGGAACTGGGGAAAGGGCGGGAGTGTGCTGATGCGAGTTACGCTTGCCGGGCTTGAGAGGGGGGCTGACGACGTGGACACGAGAGAGACAGCGATCGACGATGGAGGCGTTCTGAGCGACCATGGTGGAAGAGAGTAGTTCCTCTGTGGGCATGGGCATGGGGACGAGCTTGCGCTTCTGGTTTGCTGAGATGGGGGTTTGGGTATTGGCAGGCTTTGGCTTGGGAGAGGAGGGGAGACGAGGGGCGAGGGTGACGGTATTGTGGGGCGTGGTGGTGGTAGTAGTAGTAGTAGTAGTAGTGGTGTTGGTGTTGTTGGTGGCCATGGACGGAAGGTGGAACTTTGAGGCGGAGGCAGCGTCCATGGGGCGGAGAGCGATGGTGACGGAGGTGGGAGGCATTGTGGGCCGTGGAGCTGCTGAGCAGCGGGGG